AATTTTGTTACAAATAGCACTATACTATTAGCCTTTATCCATAACTAATGTTTATATATTATTATTCGGTTTTTCTTTTTAGACTGATATCCTGTTATCTTGGTATTTTAGAATAAAAAAAATAGCAATACCTCTTCTAACTTTAACTTTAAGTACAAAGGAAATTACTGGAAACTATTGAAACCTGTGTTAATTATTTCCGGAATAACTATTCCTGTACGAGTATATTGGTAAGCTTTACTTTTAAATAAATGCAAATTCTGAAAATATATCAAAGATTAAATCACAAACAACTTGTAGCGAACTGAAATGACATTGAATTGCACAACCTTGAACTTTATTTGCAAATTTCTGTAATTAAACCGACATCAAATTTCGAGATATAACGGCATAGCAATGCATGTATAGTAATTGGCACAACGAAATATACGTGCAACTAGGAATGTAGAAATATCACAGTTAAGTTTTAAATATCTAACTTTTTAACTCATCGGAGTTCGATGATGTGAGATAAATAGAAATGAATATTGCGATGCTTTGAATTGTGATTTATAATTTTACACTGGAAGTAAAAGAAACTTTTTTAAATAAATTAACTACTAACTGTGACTGCCATTACACTGAAATGAAGAAGTTTGAAATCGTTACTCTTCTTTTGCTAAATATACGCACTAATCCTGCATATAAGATTGGATTTGATTTGATTAGGACTGTGAATGCGTGTATTAAGATAGGAAGTAGCTATCATGTGTGCCTATTTGCTCTTAAATTGCACTATATTAAGAGTTTTTGCTATAAAAAAGCCCAATCATTTTTTGCTTTTGGTTTCTAACTATGCAGCAAAACTACCCTCTTACGTATACAATGTGATTGGCTTTTTATGGCGACATTCATGTATCTCAAATAATAAATATTATAAATACTCTTAAATATCGTAATTGAACTAATTTTAAAAATGAACCAGAGGTTGATTTTTCTCAAAGTACGTACAAATTTCGTTGTGACAGTTGTTGTTTATGTGTAGAGTGAATGAATGGATGGGGCGGGAAGTACGAGACACAGCTGGCCGTTGCTGTAGGCCACAGCTAATTTCCGACCCTCTGGAGTCGAACAATGGGTTGATACCGAAACCGCTTCTCACGTTTCCCACTTTTACCACATTATTCACAAACTTTTGCGAATTTTGCATACATGCTTAATGATTTGACTTTTTTTGTTTCTGCGGATGGGTAGCAGCTTAGACATTCGACTTCTGTTGGGCCGGAACGTCCCTAAAAACTCTCTCACTTACAGCACTAAAAACTAAAATAAAAAGATCAATATTAAAAAATGATTATAAATATAAAACAAGTTTAAATAAACGTTATCGTTCGCTGTCTAATAAAAACCATCATCTAAATAATAACTAAAACGACAAGATTAAAAACAGATAAGATAAAATGAAGAAAATTGTTTAATAAAAAGGTTGAGGAGATGAAAGCGACGAATGCTAGCTAGGTCACAGCTCAATGTACCATATTCAATGTTTCCCATATTCAGTGTATGTCAATGTCACTGTTAGATGTTGTGTGTGCTAAATGTTGCAAACAGTCCAAGTTCATGTGGATGTTAACTTACTATTTTACCGTAATGCCCAATGCATCCAAGTTATTTCGATATGAATACACATCGATTTTTTCTGTTTTAGTAGTACAGTATGTACAATTGCTTTATGTTGTACATGCATTAATGATATCAATGAATATTAAATTCTTATAAATTACAGTCTGTTCATGTCATCACTGCCGCTTTAAAAATAACCTAACGAACTATATACCAATAAAGTTTGGTATTGCATTTGAGATATCTAGGATGCGAAGCTAGATACGGCAACGAGGAGATGCTGCAATAAAAGTGCGTGATCAACATGTGTTAAGGGCTGGGCCCTCGAAATTCTTTTTGACCTGATTAGAGGCAGGTTTTCGTAAATTATTATTGGAGATGAACCGTGCATATTTTTCGATAAATGGTCTCACAGGAAACGATACATTTTGAATTGATAAACTAAAACACTAGTAGTAGGAAGACGTATGCGCATAATGTGCAACTTAATGAGCTACCCCCATGTATGCGCATAATGTGCGCCATAATGAGGTATTTGGCCAATGACCTCAGTTAATGACCCTGTCTAGACACATCGGTTAATAACCTGTTGTGGTTTGACCGGTTGATCGCCTCAAGACAGGTCTAAGCGAGTAAAAGACCAGAGTCACCATTTTACTTTTAAACTGGTTTATATGTAAACACCCTCACCACCTGTGATTCGACATAAGTATATTAAAAGAAGCCAACATTTATTGTGAATAGTAGTACAAAATGTCTTCAAATCGTGAAGCCGATGTGTTTGTTGGTGAACAAAAGTTTTATTTGAATGATTCAAAAAGCAAGCATGTTATAGTATGTTTGTCGTATATTAACAACTTTGTACCATGTGTTGTGATATCTGGAAACAATAACGATTCAGTAATTTTTAATGAGAAAGTGGAAAGATTTTCTCTTTTACAAGAACGTAATTATTGATTTTTAAAAATCAGGCTTTAGGATATTCTTCCACTGTTAACACATCGTTTGGTTACATTAAAAGGACAATATTTAAACAGCTCATTAAAAATTCTTCAACTGGGTGTTAAGAATAGTGCAGATGTGTAATCTTTGGGAAAGTGGTTTTATCAAAAGCATCTTCTATGTTTATGAAAACACCCAAGGCGGACTCCTTATGGTCCAGGGATCTTTCTATCCGGCCATAAACTAGATGAAGGGCTGAATCAGTAGATCTGCCTGGGGTGTATACATGTTGGTTTGGGTGTAGTGGTGTTGTAATCACCGCATCCCTTATGTACCTTTCGCATAGCCTTTCCAATGTCTTCATGGAAAAAGATGTCAGATTAATTGATCGGTATGTTTTTGGGACAGTGTAATTCATCCTTCCAGGTTTGGGTATAAATACCACTTTTACCTCTCTCCATTTTTGGGGGATATACCTCAGAGCCAACGAGGATCTGAATATACCCAACAGGTGCGTTGTGAGTTCTTCCAGACCCCACTGAAGTAGGGCTGGATAGATACCGTCAGGTCCTGGCGATTTAAATGGAGAGAAGCTGGATATTGCCCATCTAATTCTTTCATCGTCTACAATGTGTTTGGCAGTTTACCAATTATAGACAGATGGATTGTATTCTTCCTCTGCCCAGTCCGCCAAGTCTGTGATGACCGAGTCAGGGAAATGTGTTGATAGCAGAAGTTTGATGCTATCTTCTAGGTTGACAGTTTTCGTGCCATCCTCTTTTATTAGAGCACCAATGCTTCGGTGTGGATCTTTTGAGAGAGCTTTTTGAAGCCTCGCTGCCCAGGATTGTGTTTTAGTTTTTCTTAAGTCACTTTAAATAATTAGGTATGAAAATACTATTGGCTTGGAACCTAAATATTTATGCATGCAGAATGCTATCGTCTGAATAATTATAAGAACAGTAGATGAAAATAGATGAAAAAATGCTGTTAACTAATACATTGTCTAGCTTTGTTTTTTTTTTTTCATTGGATTTAGTAGCATATTAGTTACATGCTTAGGTCATGGTTTTATATGCCCACTTTTTCCTTATTGCAAAACCTGACTAGTGCTTCCTATGCGCAATTGAGAATACTCATATAACTTCTCAGGAGATAGTGTCTAGTAAGCAGACCTATCACCTAACGATTTTTCGTTTTTGGCGAAATAGATCTCGTACGTTTGATTCTTTGGCCTTTCTCAGTTCTGAATGATTGTGTCACATTTCTGAGATTATTTTTGATTAATATCTGATTTAGCTACCCCACAGAAAGATTCGGTACCAATTACTGCCTTATTTGATCCTTCTCGCTTTGATTCAACGGGCTCTTCATTGTCACGATGACCTGATTGCCTAAGTAAATAGGCCAACCTCACTTTATTTTGATTACTTAGTTCTGTCAGGCGAAAGGCAGTATTTCCCCAGCAAGCGGACTGATATCTACAGCACTAAGGAATCTTTACACCCAATGCTTCCTAATAACTTGTCAGCCAACCCACTCTTTCGTAAGCTGAAAGTTTCAGGTAGACTATAAAGAATAGTTTCATCTTCTTGTCCACATCCTTTCGATATGATTGTTTCAGCAAGCCCCATTTTAAGGAGGTGTTGTCGAAGTTCGCAACGCCCAATTAGAATGGCTATTTAATTACAAATCTAAGTCCTAAAAGTCTTTCTTATCCTAACTTTCCTGTCAAACGAATCAAAAATACAATAATTACCTTTTTCATACCATTGCCTTTGATCTGCCTTTACATAATAACACTTTTGATGTCCTAAAAAAATCAGAACTTTCTTTCTATAGATTTTAAATATTCCCGAATCATCATAAAAGTAAAAATAATTAATAGTTTATATTTTTTATCCTAAATGTCAAAAATGATCAGACATAAAAATTATTATAATAACTGTAACGTCAATTTTTAACATAACATGAACAAATATTCTATATTTAAATGACTTGGATGAATGAGCAGAGCGAGCTAGTTTTGCTGGGCCTTAAAAAAATAGATTTGAATGCTTCAAAGTCGATGAGTTCATTCGTTGAACCCAAACAAGATTCTCCCGAAAAACGGAGCAGAGCTCTACGCTCAGTTTTTGTACCAAAACGGAAGAACTCGCGGCACAGCAAGGGCGAATAGTGGGTGTTAGATAAATCAACATTTACAAATACAATTAAGGATATTTTTGGTGAGTTGATATAAGCTGACATTAACATATTGGCCTTTGGAGCCGAATAGATGTTAACTGTTGCATGTAAATTCTTAAAACGCCATAATCAACGCGCGCGAAATTAATCGTTCAAAGGAACCAGACTAGAAAATAAATAACCAGTCAATTATTTGAACCAGACCAAGACCAGCATGAAACATATATATTTAGAATCGGGAAATTTTAACGATTTGTGTTGTTATAAAGTGCTGATGAGGGTTTCGACGGGACTTACCAAACTAATGTTGTGGTCAAACATAACGGCAGCTGCTTGTATGTCCCACCCGGTATCTTCAAGAGCACATGCAAGATAGACATTACGTGGTTCCCATTCGATGACCAACATTGTGACATGAAGTTTGGTAGCTGGACGTATGATGGCAACCAGGTATTGCTACATATTCTTACAGTTTTTTGTTAGAGAAAAACAAAATCACACAAGCACAGAATACACACGCCTATCCATAAATCCTTTTCTCCCAGTTCGAAGTCTTTTGAATACAATTTATCGTCTATAATTGAATTCGTTAAGTTACACCTATAATACTAAATATTTATGTTATAATAAAAAATCTTTGCCAGCACTGATGAAGGCTTAACAGTAACCGAAACGTTTATAAACGAATAGATCATGACATCATTGTTTATAAAGTTTTAAATTAAGAATTTTTGTTCTGAAAATTTTCAGAAGCTTTATTCGAAAGAGAAAAAAACAAGATACAATTTCTGTCCATTTGATCAAACAGCTTATTCCTCCTTTGTGCCTTTGTACAAATTAGTATATCTAGGTAAATCTACTCCAAACTGTATGGAATTACATTCTTGATAGTGCTTTGAAGTAGCACTGTACGTGTAATGCAGTTTCCTCCTGTTCGTAGCAGAAGCTCGCGAATCTGAATTTGGCAGTAGGTACCAGTCGTTTTTCGACGTTTTTTGACGTTTTTCGACGTTTTCTACATTTTCTCTACGTTTGTATACGTTTTTCTAAGTTTTTCTACGTTTTTCTACGTTTTTCTACGTTTTTCTACGTTTTTCTACGTTTTTCTACGTTTTTCTACGTTTTTCTACGTTTTTCTACGTTTTTCTACGTTTTTCTACGTTTTTCTACGTTTTTCTACGTTTTTCTACGTTTTTCTACGTTTTTCTACGTTTTTCTACGTTTTTCTACGTTTTTCTACGTTTTTCTACGTTTTTCTACGTTTTTCTACGTTTTTCTACGTTTTTCTACGTTTTTCTACGTTTTTCTACGTTTTTCTACGTTTTTCTACGTTTTCGACGTTTTTTGACGTTAGTTATAAGATTTAAAATAAAATCAAAAGCGCTAAAAACGTCAAAAAACGTCGAAAAACGTCGAAAAACGTCAAAAAACGGCTGGTAAAAAGTGGAGTGGTGGGAAGGCTCTCAAGTGGCTCATTACCTACTTTTGGATGGTGCATGGTCTGATGACGATCTTTATGTAATTACAGAAGGGTTCTGATCTAAGTCATATAGAGCTTGTAAGGCCCCTTCCCGGAACAGAAAATCAATATCTTCATTTATCTTATGTTCCCTGCGACCTGTTACCTACGCTAAGGTTAGTGGACCCCCTTGTCTTTGAATAACAGTAGGCTTTTTAAGGTTTTGGGCACGACAAAGGTCAAAGATGACCTTAGGAATTTAAATATCTGGCACAATATTCATGCTATATGATATAATTGAAAACTCCATTTTACAATACTAGAACACTCACAAAAGCAAGTCAATAAATACATATCATCTTCTTGTTCGCTTCCTCTGCAGAGTGCGGATTCTGACAGCCCCATGATATAAAGATGCTTTCGTACTTGGCAATGACCAGTCAGAATGCCTGTGACTAGGGGCAGATTCTGTCTAGGCATAGTCAAGTATTTGTTTGCTGCAGTGTTGTCAGGATAACTTAAGAGCTGTCTGGCAATTCTGCAGTTTCTTGTTTCATTCCATTGAATTTCACAAGGGAATGTTCTTTGATTAGGTCTGTCACTACCGATTTTTTCAGGCCAATAGAAGGGCCAGGTCCAAAAAGTATTTGGTTGGCTGCTTTCTTGGCTAGTGAATTAGCCATTGTCTAGGGATCTTTCTATCCGGTCAGCAACTAGATGAAGGGCTGAATCAGTAGGTCTGTCTGGGGTGTATGCATGTTGGTTTTGGTGTAGTGATGTTGTTGTAATCACTGCATCCCTTATGTACCTTTCGCATAGCCTTTCCAATGTCTTCATGGAAAACGATGTCAGACTAATTGGTCAGTATGTTTTTGGGACAGTGTAATCCATCCTTCCAGGTTTGGGTATAAATAATACTTTTACCTCTCTCCATTTTTGGGGGATATACCTCAGAGCCAACGAGGATCTGAATATAGCCACCAGGTGCGGTGTGAGTTCTTCCAGACCCCACTGAAGTAGGACAGTATAGATACCAGATGCCCTGTTGAGAAGGCTACCAACAAGGCTGGAAATCGAATACTTAGCTTACATAAAATCATGAAAAAATAGTATATGAACTAAAGGATGTATTTAGAGAAAGAGAGAAAGACAAGGAGAGGAGGATATAGTACATTACAAACAGTATCAAAAAATGTATAAAATATGTACGTTAGAACTGCAAACCTAGTAGGGCAATTGTTTTGTTGGCTGCTTTTTATTTTTCCATTGTGTAATATTGCTTTTGTTTATTACTTCTTACTTCTAATCATAATATCTAACACCATTTTAATCTTTATCCTTTTACTAATCATACAGCATATGGTTTCAGATTTACTAGCCCTATTGGCACATTTTTTCCAGTTTTTTGCTACCTTCATGTGTTACACCCTGTATAAAAGTGTCCATTGTCCAGAAAGAAGTGTTGTGACGTATGTTACATGGTAAATTTATTAAATTAAATTATGAGGATTACTCCTACAAAAACAAAATATTGAAAGGCTGTCAACATCAGTTTCATATCCCTCAATGTATTCTCCATTGATTTTAATGCTAAAATTTTTGTAATGCTGTGACATTGATTTTCATATAATGGGAGCTTACTTTATATCTTTTTTTGTAAATTAATGCCTTTATAATCTTGAGTTTTCATGATTTACAGTTAAACGTACTAATATTGCCATACTAAATCTTCTGTCGTCAGTCTCGTCTACCGAAATGTGTTTCACATAATTACATGTATTCAGACGTGAAGAGATAGTTTTTGGTCTCTCTCGCTGTAGCGTCGCGTTTGAAGTCGGTCTCGGTCTTGGCTTGCGAAAACTCAAAAAAAAAAACACATACACCTGATAAAAAGGCTTCGAACAACTCATTACCTTCACCTACAAATCGCGTTATAGAAAGAATGTTGGCTTCAATAAAAATAAATGTTACTTCGCGTGTTTATGACGCTTATATTTTAATTTTATTATTTGAAAATATACCTCGGAATTCTTTTATTTCATAAGTGTATTAAATTGGCCACTTTATTGAGGTAAATCACATTATTTCCGTAACATTTTGGGGACTATTTTTTAAAATATGTTAATTCTGAAATGCAGTATTATTTTCTAAGTAAAACGTATTCTTCTGTAGAAATTGTTTTTTAATGGCGATTTTATTGAAGATAGTTGCTGGTTGAAAATATTTACAATTTGGAATCATTTTGGAATCATTTCTTACTATTAATGGGAGGGTATTCAGTGATAATAAAAAAAAACAAATTACTAGAAAATAATATATTTTATGGGGACAATTTTATAAAATTAAATATCAATTCAGATGAAAGCTTTCATAAGAAATAGGGACGATATTTATAGAATTAAAGTTTTTCCATACTTTGTGAGATATTAATTTATTAATAAACAACAATAATTAAAACTAATTGAAATAAACAATTTTCCAGGTATATTTTTGAAAATAAAATTAATTGAAAGGCTACACTGGAATTGTCCAATAATAGGTTGTTTTTAGTAGTTAATTTGAATCTAATTCAATTTCAAAATAAATTTGATTTCCATAAGATAAATTTAAAAATTTATCCAGCTTCTAGAATATGTATATCTAGTTACAAAGAATTTTAATAAGTATTTTTTTCCTTTGATTTTTCACTTTTCTTTTGTCTTTCATTTTTTTTCTCTAGGGTAAATCAGATACCATTTCTTCTTAATTTTTTTTGTCCGACTGCATCTTGCAGTTCTAAGTCTTTAGTTGTGAAAGAATCAACGATTTCTTAGGGTTTACAAGATCTGTAGAAGCAACTTCATTCGCTGCCCGTTTCTCTTTTTTTTTTTTCAGATCTGCGTCACTGTCAATTCCTCTGTGTTCTCTTAAAAGATAAATTAATGATGAATCAAAAGATCTTCAAATGCTGTCTTGTCGTCTGTTATTAACCCACCTGGACTACTCCTCTAAAACCTCGTTTGGATAAGGTGGAAAAAGCCCAGTGGTTCCCTTTCCATATACTCCATTTGGAGTTACACTCTCAGATATAAATTTGGACACTTCTTTTCGGGAAGACATATTTTCTATTATTGTCTAAAATTTATCTCCCGCACTTTTTCATGGGTCCAAATACAGCCATATCAAGTTGCTGCATTCGATGGGTGATACCTATCTATATTTCATGTGTTTACCTAAGTAATTCGGACCATATAATATTTGTAAATAATTGTATAGCTGCTATCGTTCATGTTGGGTAGAGAGTCATAAGAAATACATGCTATAATATTCTAGAAGTTGGAAGAATAATTATCGACAACAATTAACATTATACGATCTAATATCTAGCTGTAATTCGACAAAATCAAATGAAATAATTGGATCAATAAAATATAAATGGTCGTGAAAATTCTCTTGCATTGCTTTGAGAACTGAAATTGTACCATGGTTAGTACTTAAATAATGGAATTCTTAAAATAATTATATTTATCTTTCAATTACCTACAAATTTTCATTAGAAATTATTTTAATGTGTTAAAATTAAGGAATACTTAAATTTATTATGAAAAGATTCAAATTAATGTCTCTAAAATACAACCCAAAAAGGACATAATTAATTTTTCGATACATTATCAAAAATCGCTAGTGTTTGTAGCTTAAGAGCATTGTCACAACGGCATGTGAAGTAATTGATGAGAGTCCTGTAGATATACTGGCTATTCAAAATTATCGCATCACTCGGAAATACTTTTTTATTGAAATTATATGACAGGGAATTTCGGCATTGGTCATGAAGTTGGTTTGAGTTATTCACAAGGATGTTTCTAAAGTAAAGTAGGCCATGGCCGACGAAGACATGGATGCACGTTATCTCCATGATTGCTACACCAGCCTCTGAATTAAAACCAAATGATTCAGTATATTTTAGAATTTTTTTATGGATGACTCGTTATATTGTGAATCACCTTTTGGA